TTAATAGAAATTTAAATTGTAATAGACTCTTAATAGAAAATTAAATTTTAATAGATTTTCAATAGAAACTTAATTCGAAATTTTACGTTATAATAGATTTTTAGTAGAAATTTAGATTGTAATTAAGTTTAAATAGGAGTAAAATTAATTACAATACATTCTTGTAAAAATAACACTAGAATTATCGAGTTCTAAACGCGACTGATGTATATTGTTTTATAATAATGATAAAATTGGATTTATTCAACAATCGCACAATTTCTATTATAAAATATGCTTGAGTAAGGAAATTTGTATAAAATTTTCTCGTAGAAACATTATTGTTCTGCAGGGATTGTAAAACAAAATAATTAATAATAAATGTATTAAATCATTAATTGTAAATGAACAAAGTGAATCAGTTGACAATTTGTAAACCAGGTCCAACCTCTAGTCGTTAAAGTAATAATAATAACAATTTTCTTGATAAAACAAGACAATTATTACTTCTTGTACGTCTAGTTATTAAATTTTGTTCCGATTTAAGAGAAATCATTTCTAAATATCATCTATAAAATCTTCATAACAAGTCTGACTCGTTCTTGCAGTTCTAGTGTTAAATACGATTTTAGACAGAGCTTGGTAATTCTGATTATTATTTTCGTAGTAGATTACTCAGGTGTTGGAAACAGGAAATCGAAATAATTTCATTTATTATTTGTACAGGTTTACCTTCCATGTCGTCGTTATAATAACTATTTACTCAGGAAGTGAAATGAAAAAAAGAACTGACTTGTGAAGATGCACGGGAGATAAGAGAGGACACGGTTAACCCTTTACGTTCTGAGGGTTCTTTAAAGTACCACTTTCATTAAAATGCTGCTGCGAACCGAATATGCTTACATTTATATTCCTAAGTTAGTTGAAAGTACCATTACCTTCATTCATTCTCTAACGACTGTAAAACGTATGTATTTACGGTTAGCATGTGTGACATTTAACCCTCGAACGATCATTTTCAAACTATACAATTGGGCATGTTTATAACAACTTGCAATTATATAAATATATTCATAATAAAATAAATTTACAAAATATATTTTTGAAGACACCACTTGTACTTCTTTTATTAGTCCTTCTGTCGTTTTTAGTGTAACAGCAACTTATTTCATTTAATCGCCGACTAGGCGATTTAGGGTCAAACTGACCCGATAACCGATAATTATTCTTAAAACGTTCCGAATAAGCTTGAAGTAGTACAAATGACTGTTACTGCCTCTTTACGTGTGTTTTTAATAGAATTTCAAATAATTTTCGTTCATTTTCAAACATTTGCTTTTCAGCTTTCCGTGACACCCTTTTCGTATATATTGTGAATCTAAACAACAGCTGCACCACATCGATGGATTTGCCGCAGCGAGTAAGAGATTTTACTGCTTGACCGTGTGGGTCAAAGATGACCCACCGACGATAATGCATTAGTCATACGTCATGCGTAACCGCCACTCGTTACAGCTGACTTTGATGAAAAAAGCGAACAGATGTCCACTAATGAATTCTTCGTTTCCATACAAAATTAATTTTTCATTCGATAAATTCTTCGATTCTGTCGTGATTATCGTGTTCCGTATGCGGAATATTTCATTATTCGGGAATCGTTACGAATGACAATGGAGATTTGGTAAATGGTCAATTAAGTATGACGGATATGATGGGGTTCCAAATAAATCCACGTCTATTTAACTGATGTCAGTTATTGTTCAACCGATTTTTCGTTGATACGGTTGATTGGTTGACAATAGGACGTTAACATTACTGCATCCTATCGATTTCAAAGAGCGTACTCAATTATAGGCTATTAGGACCATCAAAAGTATTTTTTGGTAGCAATGATCAAAGCTTTCGTTAACGTCCAGTGTACGAATTATCTGTCATATGACATAACTAGACAGCGGATTTGATGCATTTATAAGAAAAATGAGTAGATGAAACACAGAACAATGAAAATAGTTTGAAGATGTTAAGAATACCGCTATATTATTTTCAACTTGCTAAATTTGTTAACGAAGGAAACATATTTTTATTCGACTTATTGTAATCTTTTATTTTGCATAAAGATCCGCTGTCTAGACATCACATATCCATTTTTCATCGCAGATTACAATTTTCACCAATTATGCATTTTCGATTGGTTGTATCATGAAAATTGATATTTTGCTAAAAAGCAGCCATCAACGTGAATTATGCACTTTTTCATTGAACAATGACCGTTGCTTTGAAAATCTACATACTGTCGTCAATTTAACTCGACGAAACTTTCATTTCATGCGATATACGTATACGTAAACATAAAAAGCGATTTTCTTTCGCCTATACTTTACAACATACTTACAAAAAATAATGAAACTGTTTAATTAATAATCGTATATCGCCTGTGATCTATACAGTACACAGGAAACGACAAGCGATGCGCATATTTGATCGATCGTTGATTAAATACTCCACCGAATATCACCAACAGAGATCAGTTATAATTACCATTCCCGATTTCGAATAATGTACACATTTTTTAATGTTTACATTTTTTTTTATTGTTCAAAACTGATTGAACAATAATTGAAACATACAGTGCGGCGGTGATAATGTTTACATAAAAATCTCTATATTATTATTTTCTCTGTGCGAGAGCGTTCGATCACTCGAGAAACAAATAACATACTCTTACAAATGCAAAATACAACGATATTGTATATAATTATTCATTGAGGATTAAACGTAAAGAAAATTGTACAATGTTTAGGTTTATAAATAAAATAGAGGTATGAAAATATCGAAATTATGTATCCGTGTTAGCTCCAAATTAATTTTCCCCGAGAAGGCAATAATTTAAAGTTAACTTATAGTATGATGCAAAAATTGTTTGAATAATTAGCATCGCGTACTACAACACAATTAGTTGCTAGCTTTAGTTACTGTACTCCAATTAGTGTATACTTTAACATTTTCACCCCCTTCTCAGCAACCCTCCCCCCTCCTCCTAGCAAGCGCAGTATGAAATCTCGTATCGCGAATAATAATTAAAATAATTTATTGATATTAGAAGGTGTACTTGTATCCAAAATTTTGCGAAAGAACTGTAACTGAAAGAACTCATTTCACTCTCAAATAACAGTCGATAGCACTAAATAACCATGAGTACAGAAATTATAATTTGAAAATAGTCATTGTTGCTCGTACTATATATATGATAAAATATACCCGGTTTACTGCAGACATGTATATAAAAAATTATTCATTACACTACGAAATAATGTTATTAATACCCGCATCGTGTGAAAATATTTGACACGATTATCATAACAAAATGCTATCTGGTAGGGGAATTATAAATACGAATAGAAAGCTACAGGACCTCGAATATCATACATAGAACAGCTTCGTAAAGCGTACCAAACACCGTAAACTGCTAGTTTGTCGCGTATTAGACAACAATGAGCCCGATCTAATTGATATGCTACTTTGTTATCGCGAGAAAACGTGATTAGGTACTGTCATAAGCGATGCTAAGTAATACATAATCGGTGTTCATATCACGGTAAAATTTCTTTTTCGTGTTCACGACACATTGGCCAGTCGAGTGCAATACAAACACATATCGGAACACCTATTGGGACTAGTCAATGAATTCGCCATAACAGTTTCGGTGACTGCAGGTGCCCCCGAAAGTACAATTCCACCTGTGAGTTATCCATTCGCGCAGTCCTACACGAGAAAATAAAGCGCGATTCGAGGACAAAAGCGAGGCGGATTCGATATGGATGACTTTTGCAAAAGTAAAGGGCCCTGCGAACGGATCAGGTAAATGTAGGACATCAGAAAAGAGAAATGAAATCACCTCCATGATTGTTGAAGGAACTCGGTGTCGACTCGAGGGCTGGGATGCTCGCGTGGGAGAGACCGATGGTCAACCCAAAAAGCACAGCACTAGCCGCCAGTAGCATCGTCCGTGACTTCTCTATCCAGGATACTCCGATTATTAGTTCTCCGCCCAACCACACTTGACTTATCACTTCTAAGAACTCCTTTTTTAAAAGAGCATCGCCGTCTACTGCACGACTCGCTTACGACACCACTCACAATCGCGAAGTCAATATTTGAGCAGAATATCGATTCGCCTGAAAATCTAGTGACGATTCTCGTCGCTAGTTGGCGTCCCAGCTTCAAACTTGTGGCGTTAGCCACGCGCATCTTTTAATCGACACGAACGGTATCGTACAATTTTCAAATATAATAGTAATAAATGCTTACGAAATGAGCATCTTGAATAGGAAACATTTAAATAAAATAGTAACGTAATGGCTTGCATGAAAAGAAAATGTCTGTGCCTTCGAAAAAGATTCTAGAAATTTTGAATAGACAGAACACGGATGTCGATTATGAAAAAGACCGGGATCAATCGAGAGAAGAATAAACGGAAAAAGGAAAAATTTACAAAATATTTCGTGCAGTCCACAGTGGTGTGATGATTGCAATGAAGATGCGTCCATAAATTAAACATTATTTCATCGGTTGCAGTGTTGTTCACGGTTCACGACAGGGGCTCCTCACGCGCCGGCTTACCCTTCCAAGTATCTTTTTGCGGCCAAAGATGCGATATGTAGCAAGTTTCTTCGTAGTTGTAGCAGGTTCGTGGTGAAAATTGCGCGCGCAATTATGAAAGCGAGAAAAGCGCGCGGGACTAACAAGGTCGTAGATTGCGGAATTTATGCACTAATGACAAAAAATGGATAAGTAAAATTGACAACAGTGAACAGATTAAGAAAAACTATGAATATTGGTATACTAATTTCAGTTTATTAAAATTATGACGGGAACAAATAAAACTGTATTTGTCTTATTTTTCTAGTCATTGGTACAGAACATTTTTATTTTGTATACAAATCCACAGTCTAGTAGATTTCATACATTTATGGCAAAATTGGGTAGTTACAATTTGAACTAGTGTAACGATCAAAAGCAATTTAAAACGTTAACGTATTATTCTTAATCTCTTAAGATGATTGAAAAAAGAATGAACTTGCTGCTTTGTTGGACAATTTTTATTTTGTATAAAAATTCGCAGTTTACTAATGACTTTCATTTCACATTTAAAATGTATTTCCTGTTAAATTTCTCTTCAGAAGTGACAGTTTAAAATAAAAAAATGTAGGCCATTTGTGTCATGATAGTGACCGTACAAAATAGAAAACTAGCTTTTGTCATTGAGGCTCTTCTTGCATGCAGCAGATTGGAATAAGAATTAATGTTAAAAACTTTAAGTGGTAGTACTTTGAAAGTGACATGTGTCATGTGAAAGAGCATGTATATTACAGCAATTTACATTTCTATTCAGCTTCGAAGAATATCAAGCAATAAAATTCGTCGAGATTTTGTACAGCTTATGTCAAATTCAATTTAATTAATTTATTCAATAAAATTATGCTCTTATACATCCACACAAGTAAATACTTTCGAAGTATGTAAATATAGCTATGTATTA